TTAAACCCTAAGCTTTCTTGGGTAGATTCCGTTGATATACTATTAGACGAAACAGATAAATCCCCAACCGAGTCAGAAAGATTACCTTGATGATCAGAAAGTGATGAATTACAGCATTGCTGAATGGATTGAGATGTAGTACTACTGGTTTGGGATTGCGTTGAGAATGACAATGGATGATATGACATATTCGAAAAGTTGTAATCAATTCGATTGGGGGAAGAATGGTAAAGAAGCAAGCACAAAAACGCAACGGCAGTTAGGTAAGGGATTGTCTTCTTAATAATGATTGTTGTTGAAATGTGATGATGATGGTGATGATGATTCTGTTCAACCGGGATTTGGTATTGGTTTTTGTCACCACCGTATTCCAACAACGCCGCCTGGTCGCGGTCATCGGAACAATTTCTACCACTTGATCTTGTTGCTTCCATGATCTGTTTCCGGCAGCTTGTTTTGTTGCATGAAATGGTTATAAAAACGAACTTTTTTTTTTTTTGAAAAAGAGAACTTCCATTAAACTTGCTAGAATTCAGCCAACTCTTTGATACAAGAAACTCGGTAATGAAGACCAAGTTTTAACTGAGGATAAAAAGGACTTAGAATGGGTTGCAATAGCATGTGCAATCCCATTTTGTGATCGAGGAATCCAATACAAATTTACAAAGGAAAGGTCTAAAAGTAGAGTCCTAACATCGTAAAGGATTGGAACACTTTGATAGGCACAATCCCCTTCTCCTACAGCAGCCAGAATTGCAGTAGAAGAATCTCCGAGGACTGTGGTATTGCTAAGATTGAGTTCCCTCAGCAAAAGGAGAGCTTCTTTTAATGCTAGAAATTCCACCAATTCTGCTGAGTTAATATTAGTGACACACCGCCCTCTTGCACTTATAAATTATCCTGAAACATCCTTCACATATATTCCTAATCCCACACAGTTTCGAGTTGATGACACTGCTCCATCAAAATAGACACAATTTTGCAAATTTTGCGGACAAATCAGATGGCACGATCAAAGGGATGAAGAAACAGCCAGGGAAAAGCCATTAGTTAAGCGAAATTCTCGCAGTAAATTAGCTGCCTGTGTAGCTAATAGAGGAGCTGAAATATGCTTGTCTTCAAAGAGCCTGCTGTTTCTTGAGTACCATATTGAGTTGCAAATAGAACCGATCACAATTCAGTATCACTTTCTTGACCCAATCTTCCCATCTATTTTGACGCAAGTGTAAAATACAGTCACGGATTCCAGACGCGAACCAAACCTGGGAAGCATAATTGCACCAAAAAAATAAATGAGAAGTTGAACATGAGACAGCATGACATAAGGGGCATGATGGGTCAGGAAAGCATCCTCTTTTTCCTAGATTCTCAAGAGTGGGAAGTGAATTCGTCGAACATCTCCACAAAAAGTGAAGAACACGACTCGGTAGTTTGAGTTTCCACAGCTTCTTCCAGAGCCGTTTGTCCTCCGCAGACAGGGCTGCATTAGGATGATGATCATCAGGAGTAGATGAATCCAACAACACATTATATGCTGCTTTCACAGAGAACCTTCCATTGCTGGAGTGATGCCATATACACCTGTCCATCGAAGAAGAGTTACCTGGAATGATAGACAAAATACAATCTGCCTCCTGAGTAGTGAAAATTGACCGGACTAAGTCATGTTTCCAGGAACCTGATGCGTCAATTAAGCACGAAACTGGAGAATTCGAGGGCAGGATCGAAGGAGGGCTGTGTGATTGGAAATCTGGCGAACACGGCAGCCAACAATCCATCCAGATTGAGGTTTGACGCCCCGATAAAATCTGTTTCCGACAACCTAAAAGGAGAACATCTTTTCCTTCAAGAATGCTTTTCCATGTAAAAGATGGTCTCGTTCCTGGCAAGGCCTCCAAAAAAGAAGAGTTTGGATAGTATTTTGCTTTCAGGATGCGTGCAAGCAAGGAACATGGGTTAGTGAGGATTCTCCAAGCTTGTTTACTAAGTAAAGCCAGGTTGAATTTACTAAGTTTGTTTACTAAGCTTCTCCAATAACGCCGCCTGGTCGCGGTCATCGGAACAATTTCTACCACTTGATCTTATTGCTTCCATGATCGGTTTCCGGCAGCTTGTTTTGTTGCATGAAATGGTTATAAAAACGAACTTATCAATACACAAACGTAGAGAAGTGCACATTTTGTTTGTTTATTGTCAAGTTGGAAGTGAAAGTTGATGCGCATTACTTCCGCCGCAAGTAAGGCTACCATCTAGCTGGCCATGCACTTTGATTCAATTCTTAGAAAAGGTAGAGTAATTTGGATCAGAAAGTACGAATACTGAAAAGAAAAAGAAGATAATTTATCCAGTATACGCAGAAGTACCATGTTGTCCCTCTAATTTTTTTAATTTATAGTACTTATTGTATTTTTCTTCAATATTATTATATTTTGCAAGTTTAGCCCCGGTCATTTTTTTCTTTCTCTTCCAAAAAAATATATCTAATTTTTAAACAAGTATATCTCCCAATCCGTGAAGAATTAGAAAGCGTGTTATACATAAAATGTATTGTTCTCGTCGAGATCTATCCAATAAGCTCCATATCAAAATTTTTTTCGAGCTTAAAAATGATCAATTTTCGATGGACAAGAATAAGGTGAATATCCAGTTTAAGAAAATGGATAACCAACTTATTTTAAATTGGTATCTATTATATTCATGCTGATTATCTAATCAGCCTGAACTGGTTATCTATTTTATTTGTACTGCTTATCCATTTGATTTGCCTTGCAACACTTCATCCTTCATGTCATTCAAAACTGTAAAGCCATTTCCAAAAAAAAAAATTTAGAAAAAACTGTTACTAACTTATTAGTGAAACCATGTGAAAAATAATATGGTACCAAAGAGTACATCAAAAATCAATAACAAGATAGCATAAAAAATCTCTAGTATATATGTTTATCCCTACAGATCATTCTCCTTCTATGTTTAAGATAATATGTAGAGACACAACTATGATTGAATCGGTTGTTCTCTAATCTTGAGGGCTACAAAACTTGTTAAATAAGTTAGAAAAGTTCTTGGTGTCACCTAGTTCTCATACAATCCTAAACTTATAATCATTCTGACTTTATTGGGCATCAACAACAAACAAAAAAGATTATTTCCGCAGTTTGAACGATTTACACTGTATTTTGCATGGGAACAAGAAAAACAAGGAGGTAAAGGCTGCACCAATAGTAATCTTGATTCTTCACAGCTCACTTTAAACTTAACAAGGGACCAGTAAATCAAAACTCACTTAGAACCCTAAGTACTCATGACTCAAAAAACAATCACCAAAAAACTTGACACATTAACTATCTTAAATTTGTACAGAACCAAAAAGTACATGCCGAATAAAGAGATTCACAGATAGGAGAAGTTCAACTTAAAAGATACAAAGAAATATACAGAACTAAATACTTGTAAAACATTAATATTAACGATGCAGTCTCCCACAAAACTATTCCATTATCAGCATGTATCCAATTAGGTTACCTTCTGGTTTCTTGAGTTTCTTGATTCATTTAAATATTTTGCTTCAGCTGGAAGAAAACTCCATCAGGTTGGTTTGAAGTCTCGATCATATCAGAAACCTAAGAGAAGATTAAAATCAGTAAATTAAACTCAAACAGCTATGACATCAACACAAAAACAAGACTGTGTGAGCATTCAAATTGTTTACATCGACACCTGAAAGCTGAGAAAGCTAGTATTTCAATTATTTTTAAACTATTACAGCAAAAGTCTCATTTGGCTTAAATAAAGTAACCTTTTCATATTGAAAGATAAGCGCTTTTGATCTCATGGAATTCTAATAGGATTGAATCATAGAATCATAGATATACTAATGAAAAAGGAATAAAATTATAAGGTTTCTACGCTATAGCTCAATATAAGAACAAAACAAACAACTCATTCCAATTCCCGCATACTCACCTAACCCAAGTTGGAATTGCTTCAGCTGCAGTCGTTGTAATTTCCAAAATGAAGGGGGCTTGGCACTGTAATGTTTGTTCCACCAAGTTGTTTTTATAACCAAACATATGATCCCCTCAATAATACATCACAACAGAGTCATGTGACAAAAGGGAATTTAATCAAGGAAATCAAAGTCCCAAAGTCAGCTTCACATTATCCAAGTTCTGAAAATTAACTCCTAAGCACATTTTTTAATAAGCCACATATCCGATTTATAAGCCATTAAAACTGTAGTAACCCAGGATGAACAAAGAAAAGTTTCATGCAAAGAATTCCAGAAAAACAGTTCAAAATTTCAGAGAAAGAGGTTCACCAAAACAACACTTCAGAACTGATGTTTAAAAATTCTAGATTCGGTCGGTCAATTTCAATCTCAATTTTCGGGCAATCTGTAGCTCCAATTTACTATCCATAAACTATGTAGTGAAGTCCCGACAACATAGAAGACTTCCACCAAAAGAATTTTCAAAACAGTTCAAGAGGGGGGAGAAAGAAATCTCCGAAAACAGGGGCTGAGAATAGATTTTCGGGAAATGACTTGTCATTTTCAAATGAAGCTTTTGCCTAACCTACAACTCCGTTTTGTAATCCGTAAAAACTGCATTAAACTACACTGAATGAAGAAGATTTTCCTGAAAAGAAACCCTGAAAACAAGTTGCAGAGCTAGGAGAAAAAGGCCTGCGAACAGAGAGATGCAAATATGATATATTCCGCATTTTCAGAAAATGATAAATAAACTCATGAAGTCCCATATTCCTAAACTAACATCAATACCCTGTTCATAGTAAATCAATAAACCAACTTTGGAATAAAATTAGCATTATTAACATCTCTTCATAGCATGCAACTCATGAATCCAAGAGCTAGTTAGCTAAGCGTATGCTATCCTCCTACTCCAATGATTATTAATAGAGATTGGAATTAAAGGGACTAAATCGGAGAATCTTAGATACATTAATGGAAAAGAATAAAATTAAAAGGTGAACCGAATGCTATGACTCAATGTAAGAACAAACAAACAACTCATTCCAACTCCCGAATACTCACCAACCCTAAGTTGGAATTGCTTCAACTACAGTGGAGGTAAATGTAACCGCAATTTGGTTACAAACAAGGTATAACAACATTTAATTTCTACAATATACTACGAGATTTTGTAAATGAATAGCAAATAAATCAGTTTAAACAGATCACATCACGCTGTAATTGGTCTACAATCCAACTAAAATCAATAGCCAGAGAGTATACTTAATAAAGCTGCCATGCTTGCAACTCGTAAACCAGTCTATATGAGCTCAACTAAAATAACAAAAATCAGGAAGCAAATCAGCAAAAAAAACTAGACAGGCTATAGAGAAATTACCCATGTACAAAGCACCTTAACCAAAGCACACCGCTGGTCACTCAGCTGTGCGATTCCTTTCATTCACCTCAACAGGAGCTCCTCCGCCGCCGTCTTCTTCGGCGGGAATACTAATCTCTGTATTATTCTGCGCGGCAGGGCGGCGTCGTTTTCTTATCTACCTTATCTAAATGGAGGAAACTCCGGGGATGCCAAGCCTCTGCGAGATGGACTCGACGTCAACATTGATCTTGACAGCGATGTAAAGGCCGGTGATTGGGGCCGCCGAGACGGTGAAGTGGAACTCGATTGTTACCTTCCCGTAGCACATTGGATTAGCGGGTTTCGACTTTTGAAGGGTGGGAAATTGAGTTTAGGAGAAGTGTGGGAGTGTTAGGGATTTTGACGAAGAGATATGAAAGTGGAGGCCGAGAATGAGATATTTCCTTACACTGAAAACTTAACGCGGGCCTTTTTTGAATTGCCTTTTCACGCTCCTTTTTTAAGAAGTTTAGTTAAATGTCTCTCTAGAATCCTCTCTGCCAGTAAGCTCTCAAAAGAAATATGTCAGACGACCCTGTCGAGGGCATCTTCGACAGGGACGACATTAGATTGGAAGTGACTAATCCGACGGCCGATCCACCCACTGATGCAGCACCAATGGAGGATCAGATGGAGACGGCGGACGAGACTGAAGTTCCCAATCCGATCTTGTCATCCAAAGAGCGGCTCCTTGGAATTAGAAAGAGAAGAGCCTCTGCCAAAATTCAAATTGAGCCAGGGGACGTTATAATGGAGAAGACTCCGATTGGGGGTAGGCTTAAGTTCTCTGAAAGGCTGAAGGCTATATTCAAGGAGGACTGGAATCGTATGGTGGTTGTGTCGCTGATTGGGGAAGAATTAACTTACAGAGGCCTTTGGAGCACCGTCCGCAAAATTTTGTGCCCAAATGAAGATTTGAAGCTCATCAATTTTACTAACGGTTTCTGGGGAGTGTAGTTTCCAGATAAGGAATTGGAGGAAAAAGTTCTTGAGGGAGGACCATGGTTTGTGGGTACAAAATGTTTAGCTGTGCAAAAATGGATCCCCGGGTTTAGAGGGTCAACGGCGACGGTATCCATAGTGGCAACATGGATTCAACTCCCAGATCTCCCAGTAGAATTTTATCACGAAATTGCTCTTGCATCCGTTGGAGATTTTATAGGTCGAACAATCAAAGTTGATGAGAACACCTTAAACGTAGATCGAGGGCAATTTGCAAGAGTGGCAGTTGAATTAAACTTAGAAGAACCATTGATCCCGAGCTTTCAAATCGAAGACAAATGGCAGGCCGTGGAATATGAAGGGCTACCGGTGATTTGCTATAATTGCGGCAAGGTGGGACATGGAAGTACTACTTGCCCTGAGGAGTCGAGATTCTAACCGCTGACAGTCGGTACGAATGGGGAAAGAAATGACGGAAAACATGGAAATGAAGAGGAACTACAAACCACCGAGGACATCGTGGCTAAACAACAGAACACTACCAAGAACCGGGTCGGGTCGGACTTGGACCATGGATGGTGGCTCAGAAGAAGCAACGACGTCCTTTCAGGCAGCCGGAACAGCAAGCAGATCGACAGAACGTTCATGGGAGACGAGTGGGCCCGGGTGGATCTAGGTTTAGTGCGCTTGCAACGGATCCTGACAAAGACGAGGAGGAGCCCACAACGGATGTGCAACGGTCACAGAAAAATGACATAACCTTTTTGGGCTACAATTTGGAAGAGGCCCAAACTAGAACAATTCAGAAAGGACTCAAGCTCTGAAAATATTAACAAAACCAGACAAGCCCAATAAAGTACAAAAAGAGTCAATTCGGTCAGTTTCAGCCCAAAGGAAGTAGTGTTAGTTCCTGGGTCTACAACGCAGTAGTCAATGAAGTCCAACAAAGCCAAATCAGACAAAGGTACTCTAGCGTCTTCTTCTGATACTAACGCGTTGTCTTGCAGGTACGCTTCCCCAGCTCAGAAACGGAGTGAATCTAGTAGGCAAATTGTAGGATCAAAAACTTCACAGAAAAAGCTTGAAAATCCGAATAGGTATGCCTACCCCATCTTAGATTGGGAACCGGAGTTTGCTCGACCTTTTGATGGAGGGAAAAAACGTTATATAGTCACATATAATTCGAAGGAGGCGCCACCAATTGAGCAGGCGTCATCGATGGTGGTGGACTCGGTAAATGAATTAAGCAGACCTCCTGATTCCCCGCAAGGAGAGGAAGGGGAGAAGGGAGTGCAGCCAGATATTGTGATGCCGGATTCAGACGACTCGTTCCTCCGAAAGGAGGATCAGGTAAAATTATGAAATTGTGTATTTAACCTGTTTATTTGTTATCTATGAATATAATTTCTTGGAATGTTAGAGGGGCAGGATCTCTAAAATTCAGACCTGCTATTAAAAATATTAAAAGAAAATATAGACCAGATTTATTGTGTGTTCTAGAACCTCGGGTTAGTGGGGAAGTTGCTAGACGCATAGTTAGAAGTTTGGGCTTCCCGAATTGGTATATAGAAGATGATGTGGGATTTTCAGGAGGACTATGGATACTTTGGGATGAAAATAATGTTAAGGTCAGCATTTCGGCATCAGCTAATCAATGGGTTCATTTCTGCTAGGAAGTGAATCAGTCTAAAGGATTCTGTACAGCGGTATACGCATCACCTGCTCCGATGAAGAGGAGGCAACTGTGGAACGAGTTACTAATGTTGAAGAATCAGATTTTAGAGCCATGGTAGTGCTAGGAGATTTTAACGTCTATCTGAAGGCTGAAGAAAAAAGGGGAGGAGCTCCTGCTAATTTATACAAATGCAGAGAATTTAGTAACTTCTTACATGAAAGTGGATTAGAGGATATGGGATTTGTAGGGCCTAAGTTCACATGGAAGAAGGGGAATCTACAAGAGAGGTTGGACAGAGCTATTTGCAACCCGCAATGGAGACTTGTGTATCCTGAAAGTTCACTGATTCATCTGTGCAAAATCAAATCAGATCATCAGCCTATTTTATTAAAATTGATGCAAGATTTAGTGCCAGCACCGGAAGACAGACCGTTTCGCTTTCAGGCCTGTTGGTTGTCGCATGAAGGTTTTAGTAATTTTGTTCACCAAACTTGGCTGGCTGATGCGGGATATAGTTTTGCTAAAGATGACTTAAGAACTAAACTGATCATTTGGAATAGGAAAATATTCGGGAACATTTTTGCTCGAAAGAAGAAGCTGACCAAAAAGTTGGAAGAGTTGGAAAGGCGCCTTGATTTGAATCCTACAGACTGGCTTGAGAAACAAAGAGAGGCCGTTCAGAGGAAGTTGGAAGACACATTGGTGCAGGAAGAGATTTTATGCTTCCGAAAATCGAGGACTAAGTGGCTGCAATTCGGAGATAGAAACACAAGATATTTCCACCTTAGCACATTGACTAAAAGGAAAAGAGGTAAAATAGAGAAACTAAAAAATGAAGAGGGGAAGTGGGTTCACGATCAGAATGTACTAAGAGGGATGGTAGTTCAATTTTACAAAACACTTTTTACGGCCGAAGATCCTCAAGGGGAAGGCTTGGTACTTGGAGCAAACTTTCCGCAGCTAAGTGAAGGGGAGAGGCAATCTCTAATAAGACCAGTGGTTGAAAGTGAAATCAAAAAAGCTGTCTTTGAGATGGAACAATACAAAGCGCCAGGCCCGGACAGATGGAGTCCGATCTTCTTTCAAACCCAATGGAAGGCTGTAGGCCCAACGGTGTCAAATTTTATCATCAAGTGTTTTCAGGCAGGGCATATTCCCGAGAGCGTTAATGAAACTTTGATAGTCCTTATTCTGAAAATAAATCAGCTAACAAGTCTTACGCAGCTGCGCCCTATCAGCTTATGCAACGTCATCTACAAAATGCTAACCAAAGTAATAGCAAATAGATTGAAACCTATCCTAGGGAAGCTGGTCAATAAGACTCAGACAAGCTTCGTTCTAGGTCGGAAACTCGCAGACAATATAATCATCGTACAGGAGGTAGTACACTCCATGAGATGCAAAAAGGGCAAAAACGGCTGGATGGTGATCAAGATTGATTTGGAAAAAGCATACGACAGGTTGAGCTGGGGATTTATTATGGAAGTTTTATGTTCAGCAGCCTACCAAACAAGATGGTGGATTTGGTCCATAGATGTATTTCTCCAGCCAGCTTGAGTGTGCTATGGAATGGAGAAGTCACTGAAAAGTTCAACCCGACACGAGGCATAAGACAGGTAGACTCTCTTTCTCCTTATTTATTTGTGTTTTGTATGGAAATATTAACGTATAATATTGAAGCTGCTGTCAATAGAAATGAATGGACAGGAATACGGTTGGGATCGAATGGTCCAACCATATCTCACTTATTTTTTGCAGATGATTTACTTTTATTCTCTGAGGCTAATTTAGATCAACTTGATGTTATTAATAAAGTGTTGCAGGTCTTTTGTAGAAGTTCAGGGGAGAAAGTGAACCCTCACAAGACTAAAATTTATTTCTCAAAGAATACTTCCCCGCAGCTGAAGGATGCAATAAGTCACAGATTCGGCTATGGAGTAACTGAGAACCTGGGGAAATATCTTGGTTCACCTATCTTACATGGCAGGATGACTAAGTTTACATACAGCAACATGTTGGAAAAGGTTAGGGCCAAGCTGTCAAGCTGGAAGGCAAACCAATTGGCATTAGCAGGGCGCATTACACTAGCTCAATCTGTGTTGCAGTCTATTCCCATGTTCCAAATACAAACAACTAAATTGCCGATACATGTTTGTGATGAAGTTGATAAGGTGATCAGAAGTTTTGTATGGGGTTCCACTGCTGATAGGAGGAAATTGCATCTTGTCAATTGGGATATGGTTTGTAGGGCAAAAGAGTAAGGGGGATTGGGTTTAAGGAAGGCACGTGAAAATAATATAGCGTTTCTCATGAAAATAGGCTGGGAGTTGGTTTGTAGAGAAGATGATCTATGGGTTCATGTTCTAAGGGGAAAATATTGCAAAAAGGAGAAGGGGTGCTGGAAATTGAAAAGAACGAGACATGCATCCCCGTTGTGGAAGGTCGTTTTCGATACCTTCTACCTAGTAGAAAAGGGGTTAACATGGGCAATTGGGGATGGCAAAACAACACTTTTTTGGGAAGATAACTGGATAGAGGGTGTGGGAAAATTGTGAGATCAGATTGTGAGCCAAGTGCCGGATAGCCTAAAAGTTGCACATGTGGTGGAGTTTGTCAAACCGAATGAAATGTGGGATGTTAGGAAGTTCAGCCCTTATCTTAATGAAGAAATTGTAAACCAAGTGCTAAGTCTACTGCCTCCTATGGAGTCCTTGGGAAGGATCGACCTAGATAGTTCTATGATAGGTAAGGTAACTTTTCGATAAAATCCGCCTATTCTCTCGCTCTTGACAACTCCATTTTGCAGGTACATCGTGCTTTGAAAAAAGCGTGGAAGTGGAGAGGCCCCCAGAGAATCAAGACATTCCTATGGTTGGCAACTCATGTTAAACGTCCTCAGCAAATGAATTGTGCAAACAAAGGGGGGTGATCCCAACAGAGGTATGCACAGTATGTATCCAAGCAGTGGAATCTACTATGCATGCTTTGAGGGACTGCCCCATGGCAAGGAATGTCTGGCTGCAGCTGCTATATGCAAGTCGAAGACAGAGGTTTTTCTAGCTGGAACTGAAGGAATGGATGGCCAACAACCTAGAAGATGCAGACTTGAAGTGGCAAACCAAGTTTGGGACAACGTGTTGGCTTATGTGGAATTGGAGAAATGATAGGGTGTTCAATGGTGGTCGAATAGATGTTGAAAAAGTGATCAGAATAATACAACATAAAGTAGAGGAAATCGAAAGGTCAGAGGCATCTCTAAGGTGGCAACAGATGGAAAGGGGGTCTGAGGAGTTAGGATGGAAGAAACCTCCAGTGACATGGGTGAAGGCCAACTGTGATACCGCAGTTTGTGAGATAAGTAGGACTGCAACAGCAGGAGGGATCCTACGAGACGACAAAGGTCGGTTCATTAAGGCCTTTAACATTAACTTGGTATATTGTGTTGTTGAGACAACGGAACTTAGAGCGATCCTCTTAGCCATGGATTTAGCCAAGGAATTAGGAGTCGCTAAGTTAGTTTGCGAATCTGACTCCCTCAAGGCAATTGAATTGATCCGAAACATGAAGGATCAAATGGAGGTCCCCTTAGACCCTGAATTGAGAGGAATTCACACCCTTTTGCGCTCCCAATGGGAGGTGTGTTTTGTACATATGGGTAGGGATAATAACTTGTGCGCCGATACAATCGCTAAGGATGCATTAGGCTTAAATAGGGGGTTATATTTTTTTGATGTTCCCCCAAGCTGTATTGATTTACTATTAGTAAATGACTCTAGGAAGTCATCTAATGTAATATGGGGCGTTAGCCTTCAGTGCTGTTTTTCACCAAAAAAAAAAACTTAACGCGGGCTTATTTCCCTCTTCTTTTTTGCCCACTGAATAATCTCCCTCCATTTAGCCAAAATAAATAAATAAATAAATCACTCCAGCTAATTTATTCATCCCAAAATATATCAGCTTCTCCAAAATAAAAATAAAAAATCTTTTATTGTGTTATACTTGAAAAATGTTCAATAAATATCAACATTATATTGTTGTTAAATAATTTTATGATGTTTTAAATCGTTATTGCATACGACCATACGTCCGATTTCAACCTAAATCATAGTTAAATTTGATAATTTCCTACATAAACTAAGGTTTTGTTGCTTTTTGTATTTTATAAGTCACTTTTTATTCTTAAAAAATAAATCTCAGTCTTGTAGTAACCACATCTATAATTTTTTAAATATATATAAAAAAATTCATTATTTTGAAGAAATTGAATAATAACATTATATTATAGAATATAATAAGTGGGTATAAATTGGACATTATAGAGTCTTGGCCTTGTATTAAAACAATAAGAAAACTAAACTGCAATTACTGAAAGAAAAAGATGTTATACAGTGAAATGAGATAGTGACAAATGTCACACGTATATGATTACTTAATTATCCTTTATTATTTTAGTAGTTGTAAACTTAGTGGGTGGTGTTTTTATCTATTTTTCAAGATTAATTATCCCATTCTCGTTATATTTCTTACTATCTCTATCATTGCTTTTAGTCAAACTCATTGAATTAGAGTAGATTATAGAATAATTAAACTAACATTGAACTAGTAATAACATGAATATTATATCTTCCTATCAATAAGTCTTGTTAACACTTGGCTAAAAGAATGATATATACATATATCATTCATTGATAACATTAGGCTGATGATGTTAACTTATCTTAAGTCTACACTATTTGATAATGATGTGTTTGAAATTTGATTAAAAACTGTATCACTTATTACATATATGTGGATTGAAGTTTTTCCTTCAGTGATGAATCACTAAAGAATTATCGAAAGAAACAAATTTGGTTAGAATATATTAAAAACGAACTTAATTATGTGAGCTATAACTTTTAGATTATTTGAAGGGGTCTAATTATAAATATTAGGGTGTTATAGTAGCATTCTTAAAAAATTTTGAGGCCTACTTTTAATTATTGTTTTATGTAGCTTGCTAAATGGG